AAAAAAAGAGAAATGAAGACCTCCCTCTAATCTAGACCCTCATATAAAGCCCGCTGAATTTGAAAATAAAAAAATATTGCAAATCTATCGCACACATAATGGAAAAAAAGAAACTTGTGTGTCAAATCACGACACAAAATTACTACCCTCACATGTATAACAAGAAAGTTGTATCAGACCTTCTCATACAACCTCAGTCCTTGCATGTAAAAACGAAAGAAACAATGCCTTTATTGATGTTCTTCATCTTAAAGTTACACAGGTATACCGTTAATATGGAGAAAAAGCTCTCACCAAATATCATTCAAAAGTTCAGTTGGTATTTAATCTTTTGATATTCCAGGTTGTTTCAGGCCTTCATACTTCTTGAATTTTAGGGAGAACATTACTGTTGTTATTATATTATTTATGAATAAAAACAATCTTCCACTATTCTATTTTTATAAAGTTGCTAAAAAAAACCAATAGCCCTGTAAGCGTTAGTCATGACATATATCTAACTTTTTCGAATGAAAATAAGGTGACCATTATTCTCAATCTCGATTTATCTGAGTTTTAGGGATCGTTTGTTTGTCCTTCGATTTATGAATTTAATATATCGCTCCTCCCTTAGCTCTCCATCTTGCACCGCTCTTGTTGTCTTCAATAATTTTGATACACTAACCCTTTTATGAATAGTCAAGTGTACAGTACGGTCAACTGATAGCATGGTGAAAAATATCTTTTTATTGTGAGTATGATAAAATAGTGTTTCCTTATTGTAAGTCAGAAGGGAAGACACTCATATTTCATGTTTCATACTAAAAACTAATTTAATCCATTAAAATTTATATTGAAAACAAACGAGGAAATATTTATTAAGTATATACTCTGTCTTGTTACTCATACTAACGTGTTTATATTTAATTATATTTAATGTTTAATATTTTTTTGTAATAAATAAGGAATGGTGAATTTACATATGAATAATTTTAGAATTCAGAAGAATTTTTTGACAATTATTTGCCGTTTAGCATTTTTCCTGTAATGAATGAGTTTTATATAACCAGGAATGGTAAATTTGCATATGCATAATTTTAGAAAACAGCATTATTTTTGTCGACACAGAAGAATAAATCAAAACTGAAATAGATATTATGATAAATCGAATATTTTTTTTCCAGAATATTGGGAATGAGTGTTGTTCTTAAATCACGTGATTATCCTGACGCTAAAGTGTAAGCATACTTTTTTCTTTTATTTCTTCTCAGATATACTAGATATTATAAAAATATAACAGATATATAACAGAATTCACCGAAATATTGGACAATACAGATCACACATACCACTAACTTAGACTCCCTAAAAATAAAATAAATAAAGGCAAAAAACCAACGAACAATACATGAGCTGCGTCGGATAGAAATCAACCTTATGCAAGTGCAAGTATACATGTACATGTATAAGACTTTGGTTGATTTTGGATTATTCGAATACGAAATGAAAGAAGAATTTTGGTCTTTTTTGTAGGGTTCTTATAACAACTCAATTTTCAAACAGTTACAGACTTTGCATACAGATTTTTTCAACCCTAAATAGGTTAACAGACGTATTGATATTCATTTGCATAAGGTCGATTAAGGTCGATTTCTATCCGACGCAGCTCAGTCATGGTTCAGATAGCCCGACATGATACAGGCACAAACTGTGGTGGGGTTAAAGCCTCGTATTACGCGTGCACCCATTTTTTGCCTATCTAGACCATATGTCGCAATTGATAGCAATTAAAACCGGTCAAACAGGCATACTGACAACAAATCATTATAAGAGAAACTTGTTTGGCCAGTTAAATAGTCCAAATAAAAAAGAATAAGGAACTTTGGTTTCTCTAAAGGACTAGTTTTATAGTATGTACACCATTACTATATTAGATGTTGGTATTCCCTGTTGGACATGTTTTATAGTCCGTACATCAGAACTATATAAGAGATTGGTGTTCCGCACTAGATGACCAGTTTTATAGTCCGTACACCATAACTACATAAGAGATTGGTATTCACTAGATGACCAGTTTTATAGTCCGTACACCATAACTATATAAGAGATTGGTATTCACTAGATGACCAGTTTTATAGACCGTACACCATTACTATTTTCATTATAAGATATGAGTATAGTTCTCGCCTTAAATGACCAAAATTTGGAACAAGTTGTGCGCGAAAAATGAAGCATAGTCTTAAAAAATATACAATCGTTTCTCGCAATGCTTGTGCGGAAAACATCATCCTAGGGGATGACATATCAAATGGTCCTCCCCAACAATATCATATTTTGAAATTGGGTAGCCATAAATGAGAATCCGATGATGTTAACTGTAGCAATAAGTTTGATCACTTTATTGCATATTTTACACAATTAAGGGAAGTACCCAAATAAAAAGTGCTATAATAACATTGTATACTGGAAAAGGCAAACAAAAATTGAAATCAACAAAACTACCATACACCTGAACTATTGCCAATAGCCTTCATATAACATCACAAAATCGGTCTAAACTTTCAAGGATTGTTCGTTTCTGTCCTTTTCCATACTGCAATATCAACGATACATGAAGTAAAAAACAAATAGAGAGAAAAAACTATAAAAAAAAACACCAATTACATAGTGCATACATCTTATAATTGGTATAATTTATCATTTATACATGAGATTAAAGGTCACGACAAAAACCTTTATCTGACCCGTACAATACAGTTATTATTTGTGTTAATTGATAGTTTGTAAGTAGCTGACGATTGCTCGACAATCTCAATGTTCTTCAGAATGCACCACCATGTCTGGCTGAACCGGAAACACCAAGTACGTCTGCTTGTAAGCATAAGTTGTACAGTTTTTCATAATTAGCTATAACAACCCTGAACGGGATCATTTTGTTACACGCCGACCTCTTAAAGTGACAGATTTTTTCTTGATATTCTTTGATACAATATACATATTGTTCTCTAAACCCCTTTGTGAAAGCTTTTTCCACGCTACTCGAGACAATACGGAGAAAAGTTTAAATCTATGTATAAATCCAAGGTTGATTCCTAAACAAAATAAAATGCAACATAGAGTGAATATTAAAGAACAATCGTCTGCTGTGTGTCATTTTTATATTGTTAAAAAGTTAACGGGGATTGTTTGTATAGTGCATTAGTACGGGAGTCGATTAGTGTCTGTGTGTAGTTTTTTGTGACTTAGGGAGCTACCATTGGATTTTTTTTTTGCCAAGTTGCTCATCCTGCCTTTTTTTTTTACTCAAAACTCCTGTCCTGCCTTTTTTCAAATTTCATCCTAGCTACCCAGTATTCTCTATTCTTTTATTTTATTATTTCATTCGTTTAATCTTCTTTTTTTATTCATTCTGCAAACCCCGTCCATACCCTCATACCTTTAAAACTTACAACATATGCCTGTTCTGTGAGTTACTCTATCGCCTATACTAGTGTGCAAGTTTTACTGTTCAGTATGTATACAGTAGTTCAACGTAAAAAATAGTTACCGTCAGTTTTGCAACGTAGGGATACTAGTAAATTCACATGCTTCGTTTACTTGTGACGGAGGCTTACTCCGTAAGTCTACATTAATGAGGGGCCTGATGGGGATGGGGGGGGGGGGGGGTCTCATCACGATTCACGAGTTGATTTTTTTGTCAAACACGATTCACAGAAAATAAATTTCTATGATCACGGATCACGAAAATATAAAAAAAAAATCTGTAGAAAAACGGATCACGATAGCAAAAATGCGCTGATCACGAAGAACGAAAATAACCCATCAGGCCCCTCATTAATAATAGAATATTTAAAAAAATCAAATCACTTTAGAAAAGACATGATTTATCACATATGAATAAAAGTCAATGTGACCACAACCCAACAGCACAGTTAAGGACATGCTGCAATTGATGACCAACGGTAACCACTAAAACACAACGCGCTATAACGTTTAATTGTAAAAGTAGAAAATAGTTCACGCATAATCAGGTCAAGTGTTTTTCGGTGTATATGCCAACCGATTAAATAGATATAAGAAGATGTGGTATGAGTGCCAATGTTTGATTTGTATAAAAGACAGAAGATATGAGATGTGGTATGATTGCCAAGGAGACAACTCTCCACCTGAGACCAAATGACGTAGAAGTTAGCAACTATAGATTACCAAATGGCCTTCAATAAGAGCAAAATTTATACTGCAAAGCAAGCTATTAAAGGCCCCGAAATGACAAATGTAAAACAATTCAAACGAGAAAACTGACGGCTGATTTATGTACAAAACAATAAACGAAAAACAAATATGATATACAGCAACAAACGACAACCACTAAATTACAGGCTGCTGACTTTGGACAGGCACATACAGAATGAGGCGGGGTTCAGCATGTTTGCTGGAGTAGAAACCTCTTCCGAATCTGGGAAAGTGTGGTAACAGCACAACATAAAAACAAACAAAACAAATAAGTTGAAAAGGGCTTTTCGATATACAAAGTAATAAAAACAGATAACAAAAAACAAGACAAAAAGTACAGATCTGAGAGAACTCGCAGTTACTGAAAGCATCATTATTAACTGATGAAACGATACATTGGTGTTCATTTATAGAGTACAACTCAACCATCTTATCATTTAGCAATGTCAAGGTCTACAGAAAGGTTCACAAACCTTTACTTGAACTTATAGATGTGTGTGTCGTAGTACAGGATTGATCCAGTATTTAAAACCACTTTATCAATGAACGAGGGGAAGTTCGAGTAAACCAATGACACACACTCAGTTTCCGTGAAGAAGTGGTTTGTTTCCGGAAATTACGATAAAATGTTATAAATATATTGTTATCATGACTATGTAACACGATGTTTCGTGCGTCAACAAAAAAAAAACAAACTTAAAAATGTCGTAAGCTATACAGAGACAGGAATGAAAACATTCGTAATTTGAATGTTGGTTGACGTAAATTTTATCTGTCCTACGGTAAGTATTTCAATAGACACCTGAATGTTATGCCTCCAGTTCTTACAGACTAACACATACCTTTTCCATTTTCGATAAAGTCCTGAAAGTCTATTGAAAGCTTAGTCTCGGCTGAAAACAAAAGAGCTGCCAAGCAGGGTTGCTAGACAAGAAGCGTGCTTACAATATGGTCGACATCATTAGCTGGTTTATCTCCATGGACTATCTTTGCCAAAGAATACAATAGATTTATTCCAGTTGCCATTTCTTTGATTTCAAGCATTTTAAAAATAAAGATTGAGGCTCAAGTGTAGCTTATCTTTAAAATCAAATGCACGCAGTCGACCGCAGTTGACCGATTGTCGTCGAACGTTGGATTACACTATTTCATGGTTACTTTACACGGTGAAAACTATTACATTTGTTTGCAATGATGGCATTTATGAACAGACCAGAGAAGTAAACAAACTCATGACAAAAATGGAAGGAAAAGAGCAGTGTGAAAAATTAGTTCTTCGTTATATGTATAACCAGATTTCAAAATTACAGAGCTGTATATTTTATACCACAGAGACGAAACTGTTCAAATGATTCCTTGTTGGTAAACAGCCAATTCCATCATGATACTCGACCAGGTAAAAGCTACATGACAATCAGAAAATGATTTATAATTTTAGTCAAAAACCGGGGAAAAAAATGAAGACAAAAACATTTGGCATCATTACAGCAGTCCAGATAAAATTTTCATGTGTTTTAGGTGTATGTATTTTGACGTCCCAATGTATGTCGTCAATAGATACGGGCGTCCCTAAACTATGGACTATCCTCAAGGAAGGGATACAATACAAGTACCAATTCTCCTGTTTATTCCAGCATCCAAGGGTTGCAACTGTTCAAATGTATGTATCTGTACTCTAGTAAATATATGGTAGATCTCAAGTGACAGATTTGACATCTCATGTCAGTCCCACACAACTAAACAATTACCTTATGTATAATATATGTATTGTCTTTTCTTAATTAATACCATTCATGTAAAAACTTTTGACATCAATTTACCATATATGGTAAATCTTTGATATTATTTTTACGCTTTTGTTTACAGTCTTACATTATAATTGACTTCATATTTGTCAAAATTAAACGTCATATTACATTATTACATGTAAATGAACCCGGAAGATCTTATAATTGGAGAGTGGAAATTAATAGTTTGCCAATCAAGGATCTATTAAGTTTATTGATGAAAGGTGATTGACAGCTGAGGGTCTCTGTTCGACATTTATTACATATTTAGTAACGAGTATAGCATGCATTATAACTTTCATAGAACCATCAATTGTTATGTCATTCAAAAATATGTATATATTTCATAACTGATAGATAGTTCTTTTTTAATACTTAATGCAAAAATACAATATAATGTGACAACCAGAAGTATGCACGCATTGAAACTTCCCTATACCATTAGTAAAGTACATACGTAACATTGGCGTCACAGTGTCAGGAATGTATTGTTTTTCTATATATTAGATGCGTGTCTTGAATGAGTTCTTCTATTATTCCATATATGAGGGAATGTTTTGGATACAGAATATTAAGTATAAGGAAACTATAAAAAGAAGATATCAAATACAACTTTTCTTGTAATACTGTTTAAAAAGCTCGTAAATTTAGGTATATACCATTGAAACTTATTCAGCCATAAAACTGTGATTATGACCGTTTGATTAATGTCGGTCTTTGAAAGTATAAATATTGATATATTTTAGTGCATAAAACACATTATATTCCATTTTCACATCTATGTTACGTCATTTTGCCATCATGGGGTCGTTAAATCCGATGCCTCGTGGAAAAATAATGACACGCTCTTTAAACGTTAAGAACACTTGCTTGCAAGGCTCAATTTCTGTCCCTATCAAATATTCCCTCATTTTCCAGTGGCATTCCAAATGTCCCGGCCTTCACCCCGTCGACTACTTTTACAGGACCTACCTATTGTTTTAATTGTAAATTTGTTCTCGCCCTGAAAATGCATAAACTGTTTGCCACTGGACGTTAGGCTAACAACATTCAACCAAGCATCTTGTCACCTACATTTTGAAATGGTCCGTGGAAAAACTTTAATTTGGGCGTTGCAACTAGAGATAAAATGAAATATGGGATATACGTCAATAAGACAGCAACCCAACACACAATCTACACAATCTACTTTATATCAAGTGAGCCATTCGAAAGACGGACACGTCTTTGGTAAAAAGAAAACATCCGAGACGTCCAAGCAAAAAACAACAACAGAGAGAGAGAGAGAGAGAGAAGGCTAAACAACTTATATAGTATTAAAGACTTATAATTATCAAACATATTAAAACACTATATATAGGTAAGATTTATTGATAAGAGGAAAGAAAACTGCTGCTGATTCGATTCGCATTTGGTACATGTTAGTAAAGTATTCTATTCCCAGTACTCAGGCTCTATATCCATTACCCGGCCGCATCTTCTTCCCTTTTCCCGTTTCTCTCTAGATTTAACGTCTACGTGATAAATGATGAGAGCCCAGAGCTTTTAACATTAAAATAAAACAACAACAAAATACACCAATTTCATTTTATGTACTTAATATACCAAGATATACTTTGAATCCAGTTCAACCTTTGACTTGGTCTACTTTAATATAGTCATGTGAGAAAATTACACAGATGTTTTGATTTTGAATAATTTTCGCTGAAACAATTGTTCAGATAAAAACCACAATTTCCTATTGTAATTTTAGTCAATTAAAACAATAAAATTGACTTTCATTTCTGAAATGTCATCGAACAATACACTGATGTGCTGAAATTAAGGTCCATTTCCTTCCTTTTATACATCAGTTTCATATTGGTATTTAAGTAAATTTCAAGTATATGTAATTTATACATGACTGTAAAACCGATATAATTATACTGACTGGTAGAGCATATTAGACTATAAAACATTAAAACATGAAAAATTGCACAAAAAGATAGTTAAAAAGTAATAAAATTATAACTAAGGATAATTAAAAGTAAGTCAAGGGAGACTAGCCACCTACATCTCACCCTGGATATATAATATTTATGCGTTTTATTATATATATTTCATATTTACACTAATCACTCTGTAACTATGAGATTCTATGTTATGAAATCAACATAAGAATTCTCTCTCTCTCTCTCTCTCTCTCTCTCTCTCTCTCTCTCTCTCTCTCTCTCTCTCTCTCTCTCTCTCTCTCTCTCTCTCTCTCTCTCTTTGACAGCAACCTCACTACATAAAATGTATGTTGAGTAAACGTCAGTGAGACATCAACCTCAGTACATATGTTGGTAAACGTCATGCAGTGAGTAACCTCACTACACTTCAGGATGACAGCAACGTCCCTACACATTTTGGGTAAACGTCAGGGAGACAGCAACCTCACTACATATGTCGGTTAACGTCATGCAGTTAGCTACCTCACTACACTTCAGGATGACAGCAACGTCACTACACATTTTGGGTAAACGTCAGGAAGACAGCAACCTCACCGTGCTACATTTATCAATTATGGACTTTTGAGGAGGTCAATACGTTATATATGGACCTGTTCAGATTATATTGACCGAGGACGAAGTCCAAGTGTCAATATCATCTAACAGGTCCATATATAACGTATTGGCTGAGTGAAAGTCCTTAATTCATATTTTACATATGTAAATAATGTATTAGGAAAATGGCGTTCAATGTTCTTTCTGTGTATTTTTAAATTGTATTTTGCAAGAATTTTAACATGTTATTGAAAATATCAATATTCTTTGAAGAACTTCGTAGCTTGTTGCGTTAGTTTTCTTTTATTCTTAGCGTCTGCGTTTAACATAAAAATTCTTGTGATAAACTTTCTTTTCATCTGATGCGGCGCTTCACCATGGTTGTTGTGTGTGACGTCATGACGTCATTAATCTAAATTTAGCAAGATTTTTCATATTGACCGTCAATATACATATAAATAGAAACATAGCGTCAATATACTTAGAAATAGAAACAAGGCTTCGGATACATAAAATAACCTTTCAAACATGTGATCGTGATATCCAATGAAAACAGGAGAATTTCTCTTGTTTTCATTGGATATTACGATCTGAATGCTATACCATATGTAATATATGCATGTCGGTAAACGTCATGCAGTAAGCATTCTTAATAAACGTCAGGATGACAGCAAATTCACTACACATTTCGGGTAAACGCCAGGGAGACTGCATCCCCACTACATATATCGGTAAACGTCAAGGAGACAGCAAACTGACTTGATATCGGATAAATGTAAATGAGATAACAAACTTCAAAGTGCTACGTTTGTCGGGTAAATGTCAATGAGAAAATAACCTTGCTACCTATGTCGGGTTACCCGGTAAATGTCAATGAGATAACAACCTTCATACATATGTCGAGTAAATATCAATTAGACAAAAACCTAACTACATATATCGGATAAGATCCTTCATACCTATGTCGAGTAAATGTCAATGGGACAAGAACCTAACTACAAATATCGGATAACAACTTGTGACCTTCATGAATATGTTGAGTAAATGTCAATGGGACAAGTACCTAACTAAACATATCGGATAAACGTCCGTGAGACAGCATCCTCACTACATATGTCAGGTAAATGCCAATAAGATACCAACCTTCATACATATGTCGGATAAACCTCAGTGAGAAAACAACCTCACTACATATGTAGGGTAAATGTTATTAAGACAGCGTTCTCAATGAATATGTCTGTATTACGTCAGCAATAGAAATACTATAGTAAATATATCGGGTAGAACGACAAAGAGGCAGCAACCCAACTACACATGTTAGATAAACGTTTTAGATACAGAAACCTGAGTACACAATGAAAGTAAAACATTATGATGGAGAGGTAACCATACGGTTTTTAACAATAGATATTTGCACACGTCGTTTGCACAATTCTGTTTAAATCTAGCAGAGACGATCAAATACCTGACACCAATGTACAATGTAACCCGAATAATTCAGTTGTTATATTCCGCTGATCTACGATTACTCCATCGCAAGTAGAAGAGATCGATCACGGAGAGGGACTGAAATATTCGGGTTAGCACCGATGCTAATGTCTTTATTGATAAAAGCATTCACCACTGTCACAAGATACCAGACTAAGGACTGGTACAGAAACGTAAAGCGGGTTCAGACGAGTTTTATGATAACTTAAACCATCCCATTAGGTCTTTTATGTCGATCGTATACTAGTATTAGAAAGGGCGAGAAAAAAAGTTTAAAACATAAAATCAAAAATCAAAAATAGAAATAGAAAAAGCACTTATTTCAATTCGATGGCGAATAGATAAACAAAGTACGAGTATTCAAATATAACAAATTAAATCTTGAAACATTTAAAATCAAATTTAAAATTTATCTGTAAAGCTATTGTAAAGTTACTTTTACTACTCATGCGTTGATATATCTTATATAATATTTCATGAAAAAAAACATTTTCACTCTTTAATTCTGTCTTAAAACATTATAAATTTTGTATATACATTAATGTAACTTTTTGTCGATTTTTAAATTAGCTTTGTCATATTTGTTAATACAATATTCAACACATTAGGGTAATGGTTATTTTTGAAGATAAAGAATACAATACAATGTTTTTACAACAGATAGATTTTCTTTGAAATTCACATTAAAGATCGATAAAAAGGTAAATAATTATTCAATAACTATATAATATATATTTTATTTGTTAAAGGTTCGGATTTTTATTTTTTTTTATTCGTTGTGGCTGTTCGCCTATATATGAAAACAAAAATAATCCAATTTTGTCCTTGAAAACAAATGTACTAATCAAAACCAGTGACCT